ATATATCGTATCGTGACCCCTCTGTCATGATATGTATCGTATCGCCAAATTCTTGCCGATACACAGCCCTAGTAGAAATTGTGCAAATCTTTGAGAGGTTTGGCTACTTTTCACACTGTTTTATGAAAATGTAAGATGTTAATAAAAATGTAGATCTGATTTTAGTGTTRGACCCAGATACATGATTTTGATGGTAAAAATCTTTCAGGATGGTTTCAACTAAAATAATTTGTCAGCTTACCCTTTTTTAATTTAAAGCTTGCAGAGTCATGAGATGAATTAACCGAATTAACTGTAGGTTAATTGTTCAATAAATAATAAACCTCTCCTCACCTTCCTCTCCAGCTGCACTGGTCGCTGGAGTACTGCGCCTCCGCCCGACCCGTGAGGAGCACAGCCGTGATCCAGAGAGCTGCAGACGGCCAGAGCATGGCCAACATTCCGCCCTGTCTGCACCCGGTCACCGAACCAGCTCTGCCAGATGCGCTGCGGCTCCTGAACCGACACTATCCGGTGAAAATCTCCACACAAACAACAACAAAACAACAACAAAATGCCCAGCTGAGCCCAGGCAGGAGCCTACATGACGGAGGCAAACAGTCTGACTTCAAAACTCWGCCTTGAGTTTGTAAAAGGAGTTGTGCGCATGCGCAACGGGACACCAGAAACCCCTTTCAAAACTTTCTCTAGGGCGCGTGCCAGCAGCTGACTCCGCCACGCGAGCGCTCGCTCCAAACCCCGCCCACAAATTTACCCTGAAGGTTCAGTTTAACACATAAAATCAGCTTTTTGACGCAGAAATATTTCATATTTAAGTTTCATTGAGTATTTTTTCTCCTTATTAAAGAAACTTTAATGTTTTTTTTAAAAACATTTGCCCCTTTTTAAACATGTAAAACAACCTGCTGTGATGTGGGTGTGGGTTACAAACACATGGATCGAATTATTGATAGAAAATTAAAACAACATGCATTTCTGGAACAGCACAGCGACATTCATCCTCAGCTTTCACAAACTTCACAAAAGCTATGAAACAGTCATGCAATTTATTGCCAAACGTGTAAACAGGAAGTCTAAATTGTGCCCAGGTGTGAGAGCGTGAATGTTGTTTGTAGGCCCTAATGGACCACCGACCTGTCCAGGGTGTCCCCCTCCTCTCATGTGACAAAGGCACCAACTGAACCAGAAAAAGGGGGTAAAGAAACTAAATGTATAGATGGATAAACAGGGTTTAATTATCATTCACTGCCACGTTTAATGACCCCTCTGCAGGCTGACATTGCTACTCYTATTATAGCTGCGCTGTGTGACAGTCCTCTAAGACAGAGGTGCCCAAAGTTGGGGTCGGGACCCAAAGTGGGGTCCCGAAACATCAAGGTGGGGTCCTGAAAAGATTTTATGAATTAATTACATTTTTTATCTTAGTTGTTACA